CTTCGGGTGTCCCTGAGTTGTCTCTCCTCACCTGTAAGCCTGGGGCTCAAGGCTTTTATCCCCTTCCCTGCTCTTCCTGCAGTTTTAGCTACTATTTATATTATAAAGGAGCTCTGGTGGCACAGTGCCTAAGGTATTTGCCTGCTAGCTAGATTGGTGGTTCAAACCCAGCAGCCACTCCTCAGAAGGAAGATGAGGCAATCTGCTTCCGTAAAGATTTACCACCTTGGCAACCCAATGGGGGTTGCTATGAGTCAGAATTGACTCAATGGTAGTGAGTTTTTTTTTTTTTTTTTTAAAGTTATTCACATGATAGGGGGAAAAAAGATACAAATAAGAATAATACTCTTAAAAGTGCTGGGTACTGGACTAGGTTTTATAGAAAATTTTTGTGTTCTGTAACACCAAGAAGAACCAAACTCACTGCTGTTTAGTCAATTTGAGTCATAGTGACCCCTCCTTGGGTTTCCTAGGCAGTAACACTACAGAAGTAGAGCTTGCCCAATCTTCTTTCCAAGGAGTGGCTGGTGGGTTTGAACTGCCAGCATTCTGGTTAGCAGTCAAATGCCTTAGGCACTATGCTACCAGAGCTCCTGTTCTAGTAACAGATGAGAAAATTCATTCTTCAGAGGAATTACGCCACTTGTTTCTGGTCAAGGAGCTATGAAGTGGCAGAGTCATGACTCCAAGCAAACAGGTTAATTTGACTTCAAAACCATGAACTTCTCACTGCATAATGGTCATTTTCCAGGAGTGAATTGTAGTTAGACCTCTTTCCAGGGACATTTCATTCTATATTAAAAGGAATTACACTTTCTTTGCATTAAAAAAATTATACTTTTCATTTCAGCCCAGTTCGGGACACGGTAGTCACCAATGATCGCTGGGCAGCTGGGAGCATCTGTAAGCATGGTGGCTACTATACATGTAATGATCGCTATAACCCAGGACATACTTTGCCACATAAATGGGAAAACTGTATGACAATAGACAAGGTTTCCTGGGGCTATCGGAGGAATGCTGGAATCTGTGACTATTTTACAATCGAAGAATTGGTGAAGGTACAGTAAGATGTCTGATGACTTACTGTGATATTGTTAATAGTGTGGGTATATGGGAATTATTTCTTACAATTTGTATAGCTCATGTGGCCTATAAACACTGGGCATTATTCTGTCTTTTTTGTCTATTGCCCTAGATAGTGATCATGCATGTGTACATAGGCGAATGCAACAGATTAATGCAATGGTTTATCTACCTAAAAGCTGTATTACTCTTAATTTTTAGCAACTTGTAGAAACAGTTTCATGTGGAGGCAATCTTTTGATGAATATTGGTCCCACACAAGATGGCACGATTTCTCCAATTTTTGAGGAGCGATTAAGGCAAATGGGGACCTGGCTAAGTGTCAATGGAGAAGCCATTTATGGAACCCACACTTGGAGATCCTCGAATGACACTATCACCTCAGATGTGTGGTAAGTCACACATCTATAACCAGTACTTTTGACAGAAAAAGACATTTAAAATTTCTCAGAGATAAAAAGTGACAGATAAAAAGGAAAACTGGATGAAAACTTACCTACACAAATACTTTCCAAACTTTAAAGACTCAAGTATAAAAGAAAGGAAGAAATTAGCATGTTTTTGAGTACTTACTGTTCCTCATCTCTGGCCACCAGTTGTTGTATGCTGTTGCGTTGATTCTGACTTGTAGTGATCCTCTAGGACAGAATAGAACTGCTCTAGAGGGTTCCTAAGCTAATCTTTGTGGAAGCCAGATCTTTTCTCCCATGGAGCCCCTAGTGAGTTCGAATCAACCTTTCACCATTAACCATTGTGCCCCTGGGTTCCTCCTAGACATCTCCTAGTGGTGGAAAAAATTCTGGTTAAAAGTTGTCAGCTCTTACAGAAGTTGTTAACCATTAAGATAAATGAAAATGGTGGTTAATCTGAAACAGAGACTTCAGTTTATTTAGTTGAGTGAAATCTATTATTGCAGATGCTATTTGGCATGAAATTAGCAAGCAAAAGGTACCCAGGGACAGAGAAAAATACTTGATGAAAAAGAAGCCAATATAATACCATTATTTTAAAAAACTTGTTACTTGCTCATACTATTCTAATAATACCTAAACCACACTTCACTTAGAAATCTCCTCAGCTAAATATTTAGCACTTACAAGATCTTTTCCTGTCCAACAGCAAAATACAAGTGAGCCCAATTTTTTGCCCTTTTATAACAAAGATCACCTTTCCCCTAGTTCCTAATAACATGTTATTCATTTCTGTGAGTCCTCACAGGAGCACCTTTAATGTTCATATTTCTAGCAACATTCTGTTGATGATTATGTGTATTTTCTTAGACAACAGAAGTTTCCTTTACAGTTTTCCTCATTTTTTTCTGAGCTTTCAACAGGGTTACGTTGAATGTCCGTATTTCTATTAAGAGTTTCTTTAAGGCTTTTTCTAGAATGTACCTCAGAATGCTTCCAGCCTCCACCTGTTATTCAATTCCAAAACCACTTTCACATTTTTTAAAATGAATTTTATTGAAATATAATTTATGTACAGTGAAATGCACAAAACTAGTGACATGGATGCATGCTTTTTTTTTTTTTTTTTTTCAGTGTTCCCCCCCCCCCCCCCCCCCCCTGGCAACCAACAAAGAAAGTTTCCCTCCATATATAAACCTTTCCTTCACCCTCCACAACAATGAACTAATACTTTATTTGTCCTTCTGTGATTGACTTATTTCACTCAGCATAATGTCCTCCAAGGTCATCCATATTATGCAGTGTTTTGCAGACTCTACATTATTCTTTAGTGCTGCATAGCATACCATTATGTGTATGTACCATACTCTTCAGCTGATGGGCACATAGGTTGTTTCCATCTTTTTGTTATTGTAAATAGTGCTGCTATGAACATGAATGTGCATATATCTGTTCCTGTCCTGGCTCTCACCCCTCTAGGATATATACCTAGTAATGGGATTGCTGGGTCAAATGGTATCTCCAATTCCATCTTTCTAGGAAATTGCCATATTGCTTTTCCACAGTGGTTGTATCACTTCACAGTCGCACCAGCAGTGTATGAGAGTCCCAATCTCTCAATATCCCTGCCAACATTTATTTTCTGTCTTGTTGAACCTTGCCATCACTGCTGGGGTGAGACGGTATCTCATTTTTGTTTTGATTTGCATCTCTGATGGCCAGTGATTGTGAGCATCTCTTCATGTATTAGCTGGCCACCTGAATATCCTCTTTGGAGAAGTGTCTATTCATGTCATCTGCCCATTTTTCAATTGGAATGTTAATTCCTTTGGTGTTGAGGCGTTGGAGTTTTCAATTAATCTTAGAGATAAGTCCCTTGCCAGATATGTCATTATCGGCAAATATGAATTTGTTGCTGTCATTTTTGTTATGTGCTTTTTGTGGTATCTATTTCTTTGTTCCATATAATTTTCTATGCTAAGCTTGTTTTGTTTGTGAATTGTGTTATCACTTCCTTTGTTGCTATTGTTTTAGTATTTACTAAATATTTGTGCTGATCCTCTTTTTTATTTTGATGTGAAGTTTATCATTTTTCTTTGAGGTTACCCTGTGATTTATAGTTATTTTCCTAAGTTTACAACAGTCCGTTCTATCTTGTTGTTGTCTTGACATCACTACCATCTAGAAGTTCTATAATGACACAGTTTTTTCTCCTCTTTTTGGTTTGTAGTTGTCCTCATTTGTCAATTGATGTCTCTGGTTCCCTGTTTACAGTCTTGTAGGCTTATTTCCTTTGGATACATCCATAGCTAGGATGGTTTCTGGGTTATATCATCATGTGTGTTAATGGTCAGTTGTTGTTGGCTATTGTTGCTTCTCTGTCCAAAGGACTCCCTTTAGCATCTCTTGT